TGGACAAAGTCAATTGAAAACCTTCTGGAAAGGATTCATCATTCCAGATGCCATTAAGAACATTTGTGACTGATGAGATGAGGTCAAAATATCCACATTAACAGAAATTTGGAGGAAGCTGATTCCAATTCTTATGGATGACTTTGAGGGGTTCAAGACTTCAGTGGAGGAAGTCACTGCAGATGTGGTGGAAATAGCAAGAGACCTAGAATTCGAAGTGGAGCCTGAAGAGGCGACTGAATTGCTGCAATCTCATGATCAAACCTTAGTGGACGAGGAGTTGCTTCTTACAGATGAGCAAAGAAAGTGGTTTCTTGCGATGGAATCTACTCTTGGTGAAGATGCTGTGAGCATTCTTGAAATGACAACAAAGGATTTGTACATTTGATCAACTTAGTTGACAAAGCAGCATTAGGGTTGAAGAAGATTGGCTCCAATTCTCAAAGAAGTTCTACTCTGGGTAAAATCTCATCAAACAGCATCACATGCTACTGAAATCTTTTGTGATTTCAGGGAGTGTTGATTCCTGCAACAAACTTCATTTTGTCTTATTTTAAGAAATGGCCACAGCTACCCCGACCTTCTGCAACCACCACCCTGATCAGTCAGCACCACCAACATCAAGGCAAGACCCTCTACCGGGAAAAAGATTACGGTTCGCTGAAGGCTCAGATGATCCTTAGCATTTTTTTAGCACTAAATTATTAATATTTTTAAAATTAAGGTATGTGCATTTTTTAGACATAATGCTATTGCACCCTTAATAGACTATACTGGAGTATAAACATAACTTTTATATGTACTGAAAAACCCAAAAATTCATGTGACTCACTTTATTGTGACACTCGCTTTATCGTGGTGGTCTGGACCCTAACTCGCAATATCTCTGGGGTCTGCCTGTGCTTAGCAGCGCGCTCTGTAGGCTTCCATCTGTGCCCTTGCCCTGGGCCCCGCAAAAGCTAGAGAGGGCCCGAGGGAGACCCCATGGGCACCAGCAGGACCAGGAGCAGCTTCCCATTCTCCTGGATTCGGGACACCGCCACGTGAAAATGTTTACCCTAGAACATGGGCATAAAAGTCTACAAGCCTTCAGGGGTCTTTGGAATCAAGGAGTCTGCAGAGGATAAGCTGGAAGGTTCTGTGGTAGAGGAGGGCTCAGGACGCTTGGGAGGGAGGAAGGATGGTGCTAGGGACTGGATCATGTCCCCCCAAATTCATATTTCGAAGCCCTCAATGTTACTGTATTTGGAGGTAGGGCCTTTAAAAAGATAATTAAGCTTAAATGAGGTTATAAGGTGGGCCCCCAATCCAATATGACTTGTGTGCTTAAAAGAAGAGAGAGAGAAAGCCCAGGGACGCGTGCACACGGAAACGGCATGTGAAGACACAGGAAGACCATGGCCATTCATGAACCAAGGAGAGAGGCCTCAGGAAAAACCAACCCTGGGACACCTTGATCTTGGAATTCCAGCCTCCAGAACTGTGAGGAATAAATTTCTGTTGTTTAAGCTGCCCAGTCTGTGGTATTTTGTGGTAGCAGCACGAGCAGACACACACAGATGGGATGCTGGAGGGGCACGCGGTAAGCAGGCAAGCAGGATGCGTCCACCGTGGGCTGGAGTGCAGCAGGGCTCCGAGCAGGGAGCGGGGGCTGGAAGGCTGCCGCAGGAAGTACCAGAGTGGGCCAAGTCTGGGGACAGCAGAGGGCTGGCCTCGTGCGAACCAGGCTTGGGCAGGGGTCTTCCCGACTCACGCATGCCTGCCTTCCTCTCAGTCTGCAGGCAGTTCCTGCTGGGCCGTCCAGAGGAGCGAGGGCGCCTGTGGGAGGTGGAGCCCCCGGGAGCCTGGGGCCAGCGCAGCAACATCTGGCTCAAGGTTCAACTTCACCAGGCAGGACTTCCAGACTGTGAGTCGGACTGAAATCAGCGCACTTTGGTCTAGTCATTTCTAGTGTCAGTAACTGGTACAGATGAATTTGCAGTGATCAAAGGAGACCCATGTAGATGTTATTTCTGTTGTTGTGCAAACAAAGGAAGAGAGAGGCCTGGGTGGGGTGGCGCTCTGTCCTCTGACCTTCCCTTCCTGAAGGAAGCACACCTTCCCGCCCTCTCACTTTAAATGATCGCTCCCAATTTAGCAATTAGAAGCTCTCTGGGACCCAGGGACTCCCCTTTTACAATTAGAATAGATTACTGAAACATAAAGAAGACAATTTCCTCTAACTGAAGATCAGTTGAAAACATGATTTTGAGTAGGTAATATGTGCACTTGGTTGAAAATTTGAAAGACACACACACACACGAGGGATCACGGTGACAAGCAAGCCTCCTGTCCTTCTCCTCTGGGGGGACACACCTGCGTAAATGGCAGCACTGCGTAGACAACATTCTGCCCATTGCTGCCTTGTCCGTTTTGTCCTTTTTAATGGCAGTATAGTATGATGTCGTGTGAGTTGTAGGAACGTGTTGTTATTTATCTCCCTGTTGACAGACGCACACGCTGTCTTCAGTCTTTGGTTAATCCAGACAGTGGCCCAGTGAGTTTGCCTGCGGGGGTTCTGATGGAGGGGTTTTCGAGGCAGGAGAACAGGGCCTTAGGTGGCCCGTTTCAAGGGGAGGCAGGGGGTGGGGAATCCTTTAAATGGCCAGAGGGGAATGCAGCCAGGCTTGTCTCTGGATTTACCAGTTGGCGTTTTGACAGTGGTCTGGGGCCCTCCTCAGCTCAGTGCTAAAGGTGAGGCCGGGCCAGGGCCGGGGCAGCTGATACCTCCGGGCTGCAGGTGCTGCCTGTAGATGGGAGACGCAGGAGGTTCTAACAGTTTAAATTCACTGTCCAAATTAAAGCCTTGGCTTGCCTTCCCTCCTGGAACGGGAGCTCCTGTGAGTATCAAATGCCATCTCTGCTGCAGGTGGCTCGTTAGGGGGCTGATGGGCAGTGGAAGTGCCAGGTATTCTCTCCATGTGGTGACTGATTTACTTTAGGTGGTGACAGGCTAGAGTGCCTTGGAGTTTATTGATGATAATAGTGATCAGTTTTGCTTTTATGGTGCCTTTCAGCTAGAAGGCGTAATGGATCTTTGCAGATACTAATGGGGTGACCAGGCACTGGGGCAGGAAGGGCCCTCGCGGGGCTGTGACTCTGATCCTAATGAGGCGGCTAAGTTACTTGCCCTGTGGCATTGTGTTAGGGAGGGAAGCGAGCTCAGACCCCCAGGCACCGAGCTGACCAGCTGTGTGGGTTTATGGATGCGCTTCACAAATGAGGCTGTGGGCCCCCATGCAAGGCCTTTGTGCTTGGATGCTGCAGTTCCTTGGCAGGGAGTGGAAAAAGAAAATGGATTGCATATCGGAATGTGGAAATCGCACAGGCCGGAGGGGGTAAGCAGGGGGAGGAGGCTTCCCCCTAATTGGGAAGATGGCTACCTCCCAGAGAATTCCACCGGGGGTTGTTTCCAGAGCTGGAAGTCGGTGTGGTCTGGTCAGAGGAAACTGAGCTGGAAGTCAGATGCCAAACCTGTCACTTTAATTCACTCTGAGATTCACCAACTCTCACTTTAAAACAGCAAATGAGGGGACTTGCACTGAGAATGTTCCAGAAGCATGCTGGAGTCCCTTGAAGGAAGAAGGGTCATCATTATAATTAGGGTATAATTAGATTACTAAAACTCTCTACTTTATAAAAAGTAATTCTAAGTTATGGTCTTTTCACTCCCTGTACAAATCATGGCGAGGTCCCAGTTTCACCCACACGTTCTGTCTCCCCGAGGGCCGCAGTCAGAATTTTAATTCACTTAGGGAGGTTTTCAGCCAACCAGCTTCATCTTGCAACCATTATGACAGTTAGTGCTGACATCCCAGATTTTTTCCAAGTTGGTGAGTGGGGGCTTCGAATGCGGTCACAGATCAGCCCAGATGCTCTGCAGTTCTGTAGTTTCTAGTCTGTTTCTCCCTTCACAGAAATCAGCAAGTGTTAGTGGATTAGAACTTCCCACGGGTCACCAAACAATGCCGATTCTGGAATGTTCTCTTCCCTGGAAATCTCACTAGGCCACTTAATTTGATCTTAGTCTTTATTTAGAGTCACTTTCCTCACTTGTTCTGTTTTTTGAGTTCTTTCTCTTGTGTCTTCCGATAATTTTATGTATCATAGAAATAGAACTGTAAGCAAGAAGCCCAGTGGAACCAATTGCTCACTCTAAATAAGGCATAAACATTTTACAGCATTTCAAAGGGAAATTAACTTGTGCCCCTTGCAAATGTTTTAAAATCTATTTTCGAAGCAGCCCGATTGGTGGACCAGGTCATCGAAAGTTTGCATGATCCTGGCTGTTGGTAACATCTGTGGCTTATCATGGCCCCGAAAATATTTACGGATTATTCAGACCTTTCGAGAAGAGTTTGTGGGAAATTTCTTTCTTCCTACACTCGGTTACATACGAAGCCTTTGAAACTTGACCAATAGGATCATAATTCCACCCGATGTGATTTCCCAGTCAGCCTGCACACGCCTTAAGTTTCTTTACCGGAGAGAATGAAATTGAATGTATCAACAGTGAAATGTTCTTTTACAAAAATGTCGCTGGAGGCAGGAAATAATGGAACACTGCCTTAAAAATTTATTTTTCCAATTTATAGGTCACAGTTTTGCTTTCTTTCTCCAGATGAACTTTTAATGGATTTAATTGTCATCCATAGGGGTGATAAAAATCTTTTCATCCATTTACATTTAATTTTTTAAGCCAGAGGGTTTGTACATAAAGAGGTGAAAAATTTGAGATACAAGTCTGATGCCTAGCAAACTCCGGTTCTGCCTTTGTTTCAGCTTTTTCTGGTGAATCGTACATTATACAGTGCAGCAGCAATAGCAATTTTATGCTGGGAAGTGCTGAGGGCGAAACCACCACACTGGACTTGTTTTTTTCCCTCTAATACTGCTCTTTGACAGGTTGTGTGGCTCCCTCTAGTGGCCATTGTGGTCGACTGCAGCCCTGGATGTTTAACCTGTATGGTTCGTACTCAGATACTTACACTTGCGCTTCCAAATTCGTGCATTCACTTTAAAAGATTTACTGAATCTTAATTGGTTAGGAATAAAATACAAGTAAATATTTGACAGCTGTTAACATGATGTAGTGCATAACAAAAACACCAGGAAAGGTGGAAAACTGATAATCGATTATCTACTTTGTTCTCTCATTCATTCACTCATTCTTGTATTCCTTCATTCATTTGATAACTGGTAACGGAGCACCCACACATGCACCAGGCGCAATCCTAGGTGTTAGGGATGCAGCAGTGAAGAAGCTGACCAGGCTTCCGAACTCACCTATGAGCTAAGTGCATGGGCAACTACTGTGTGATATAAGAACCCTACATGGCAGAGAGAACTAAAGTATGTTGGTATTTTTAAGTGCTTGCAATTAAATTTTGCCAAACCACATTTTGCTAATTTACACAGTTCTGTAAATAAACTTAAAAATTTACTTACATAGATAACAACTAAATAATACATTTGTTCCTTAGTAAACAAAATGTGTTACATATGTATTTTCAGCTCAAATGCAAAACTGCATATTTTTTCCTTAGGGATCTGAGCACCCCCCTCACCCCCCCCCAACATAAACACATGGATTTGGGGTTGGGGGGTGGGGAGACACACAGTAGGACAAGAAAGTCATTTCTTCCAAGTCGGTACTGATTTGGTAGGAGGGGCGGGAGGCTGAATTAACATGATGGCTTCTCTTGTGAGTAAAAATTCCAGTGAGCAGAGGAGGACCCAGGAATCGAACTGGAAACCCCACTCCCATTGAATGCCTGAGTCATGAGAAGAACAGATCACGATTCCAGCTCAGAAATGCTGGAGCAGAATGCCCACTTGGCATCTCCTGACACCTGGCAGGTCTTCCTGTCCTCTGGAGAGCACTGTGGCAGGTGTCACAGTGCAGGTCCAGAGGATGGAATTGGGTGGTGGCCATCAGCACGCTGGGAAGGGTCCCCAGTGTATTATTAACCTGTTGGTTGTCCAGCCCCTCGGGCGACACCCTCATTGGTTTATCCTATTCTCTTGCTTGGGGAGGGCAGCACAGCCAGGACATTCCAAGGAGGAGGAGGAGGGCATGAACGGTCATGGACAGACTTCTCGGGGTGACAGACCCAGACAGTCTGCTAATGGAGAAGGCAACAAGGTACGGTGATGATGTGTCGTTCATGAGCTTTTTGCTTTCTTAGTAATCACGTTGTCCTTGCTTAGTGAAGCCACGGTCTGAACCTGTAAGGCAGCTCCTGGCCAACTTGGCTGTGGATTTCTGCGTGGTCGTGGGCTGTTGATTTACACTGGGAATATCTGGGCCATGCAGGGAGAAGGGGTGATATGAGGAGAGGCCTTTGTAATTAGACTTTTCATGGTTCTCTTCTCTAAGCTAGACAAACTCTAATGAAACCAAAACGAAACAGGGAACACATGGGAATTGGCTGTAACCATGCATCGTTAAGGAAATATTGAAAAATCTGAATTTCAAATTCTGCCATGGACCAGCGTCTTCCAAGCATAACAAAAGCAAGACTAATTTGTCTTTTTTCCCTCCCTCACCTCACAAGCTCAAATTGCAAGAAAATGGCATGTGGTATTAGGTTTCTGTATAATCCAGAGTGATTGTAGAGTAGGGTACTGGGGAAGCAGGGTTACTGAATATTTCTTGGTGGCTTGTTGTCATTCAGCCCTTGATAAGATTTTCAGTTTTCCTGAAGCCAAGCTGGGCGCTTGCCCACACAGAGTAATTGTGACAATCCTGTGGTACGGAAGGGTCTTTGCTTTCGAATCCCTAAAGATCTGATAATTATTTTAAATTCCAAAACTTAACGATTGTGCATTGTGGGGGAATACTGCTTATTTTGGAAAATAAATTGTTCTGGGATAGAAGATTTAACATCAAAGGCATAAAATAGCCCAGTAAGTGCTGGATCATTTTAGAAAGCTGCTTCCTGTCTGATACCAGCCATCTGGCAGACGAGGGCTTTCATTTTCTTTGGGTCGCCATGGAAAGATGGGCTAACTTAAGACCCGACCAGGCACTGGACAGAGTATTGCACTCAGCCTCTTCCGCTGACCCCTGACTTTCCTTTTAGCCTTTGAAGGCTTTTTAGAGGAAGCAGAGGTGTCTGGTGTCTTGTAAAGCCATGGGTGTGTATCTGGGGAAGTCTGCACATTAGAACACAGGGCACCAACTTTTAAAGTAGCGCTTCCTTGCCCTGTTCTTCCTCCAGTCTCCCCGAGCTGAGCTGTCCTTCAGTTCTGTTCAGTAAATACTCGCTCTTACGTTCAAAACATGGTTTCCATGTGGCTGGCCAGGGGATTTTGAACCCCGCTTATCTGTTCTGAATCTCAGCATGGACAAGCCAGCCAGGACACCGCAGGCCCTGAATTCCAGTCCCGGACAGTCCGGGATGACCCGTTACATTAGAGTGTTTAATGGGAATGCCTTGTGTATTGTTTTCTGACTTCAGGAGAGGACCCGTGGAGAAGAACCGGAAAACTCAAAGAATGATCGAGATTGTGGAGCGAAAGAGGAGGAAGCTAGGCTGCTGGAGAGACCCTGCCAGGCTGAGCTGGAGGCACAGGAAGCCAAGAGGACAGCGTCTGTGGCGGGGCTGGCCGGGGAGCCATGGCAAAAGCTCCCCCGGCCCAGTTCCTGACTCCTCCAGACACGTGTCTGAGCCGGGTGCAGAGGCCTGGCCCGGGCTCCCGGCACCGGTGTGTGGGCCGGAGCTGGCCTCCTGTCCTTGCTGTGCCTTCCTTGTAATATTTGAGGAGCCAGTGACCACATCGGCCCCACCTACCTCAGTCCTTTTATGTGGGCTTAGGTTCTAGAATGCCTGAGAATGTTCTATGTTAAGCATGAAACGCTATATAGGATTGAGGAGTTATTTTCTCAAGTTACTTCTTGGCAGTTCCAAAAGATTTCAGAAACTCATTCAAAACCTAGCAGGGTTTCTGTTCCTTAGAAAGAATTGGTGCAACTGTACCGGAACCACGGGAATGTTTTCCTAAATATACCTCTTTCCTTACGTAAGTGTAACAAGCTCAGGGAGGGGCCATGCCCGTCTGATCCAGGCTGCAGAAACCCTGTTTAGGTTCATGCACGCCAGCCCTGGTGTTACTGTGAGGACACAGACACCAAAGAGGTCTCCAGGGAGACACTTTACTTTTCCAAGGAAGCTTCAGCCCCGTCAGAAGCTCCCTGAGGGCAGGGGCTGGGGCTGGCTGGTGCCCACCACAGGCTTTGAGCTCACATCTGGCCTGGTATGCAGGAGGCGCACAGAGCTGGCTCCAGGCCAGCGTCAGCCGTCACCTAATTCAGATGGGAAGCCACTGCGTGAGAATTTGGGCTGATGGTCCTTCTAGCATATTGGTGGCCTTGAGCATGAAGGTGTGTGGTAGTAAAAACAACTAAAAATTACAGCCTCGCTCAAATGTGACATTGGCTTCCCCCTTCTCAAACACCCACGGAGGTCTGCTTGGCGACATGTGCTCGGCCACTCAGGGGATGCAGAGCCCAGCTGGGGATCCCACCCCAAGCTTCCTGCCCTCTACAAGGGTAAGGCACAAGTCCAGGCTGCTTCGTGGAGCCCCAGAGCCTGCTCCCCAAGAGCTGGGGTGGTGCTTTCTCTGCACTGGGGCTCAGCCTCCCCAATGTGCAGTAGGATTTTTCCCAGAGAAAGCTGGTCAGGCCCTCTTGAAGCAGACAGCACACATTCCAGCCCCTGTTTCTGAATCTGACCACATAAGCACAGATACCTCAATCCCCTCTATGGCTTGTCACCAACTTTGGAGAAGCCAGGCCCTGTCACAGTGGGCCCCGCTGACTGTCCTTGTCATTGTACTCCAGCAGCAGGGTTGGCTCTGGGCCTGCCTGGCTGACCCTTGTGTTCCAGTGCCAAAGTAGGGCTGTCCCTCAGTAACTGTGGGGAATGGAGGGTGGGGGTCATCTCAGGACTGGGGAGTCACATCTCCCTTCTGTTCTTTTGCAGCTGGATTCTGGAGAGGTTGACAGAGGAACAGGCTTTTACCTTTTTAGGGATATAATAAAGCTGTTCCTGGGGCCTGGAGCCTTGGGGTGGTGAGGAGACCCAGAAGCCCCAAATTCTGGGAATGCACCTGCTGTTCCCCTGCGTAGTCAGAGGATGCATGCAGCAGGACCTCTGTTACTTATTCTTCCATGCACCCAGCTGTCTGTCCATCTGTTTATCCATCCATCCATCCATCCATCCATCCATCTCCCCTCCCTCTCTCTTTCCTTCCTTCCACTCATCTCCCCAACTATTTACTTCTCAATCTATATATCTCCTCCATCCATCCACCCTTCCGTCCATCCATCATCCATCCGTTCATCTGTCCTCCCTCTCTTCCTCACCTTTCTTCCTTCCATCTGTCTGTCCATGCATCTCTCCATCTGTCCATCCATCCACCTATCCATCCATCCATCTATTCATCTATCCTTATATCCATCTATCCATCCAGCCATCCATCCACCTATCTGTCCATCCATCCATCTATTCATCTATCCTTCTATCCTCCATCCATTCAGCCAGCCAGCCAGCTATCCATCCATCCATCTATTCATCTATCCTTCTATCCTCCATCCATCCAGCCAGCCATCCACCTATCCAGCCAGCCATCTATCCAGCCATCCATCCTGTTGTACAACAAACATTCAGCGTGCTTTCTCAGGGACAAGCTCTGTGCCAGACACTGGGGATGTAAGTGAGGTGTGGTTATTGGCTTCAAGGAAACTCTGTTCTCTCTGTAGGGGTTTCTTCTGGAATGTTCGACTGGAGTTTTTATCTCTCTTACTCCCAGTACAAAGAGGGGAAAGGTTCAATCGAATAGAAATAGAGTTTAGAACTCCATGCAGAGATGTTATAAAGCTCCCCCTGCCCCTTACACGTGGGCTGAGAAGTCAGGTCTGCAGCCGAGAGGGTGCTGTCTGTGCCTTGTCAGACGTAGCCTTTACCATGTGACGTATGTGCTGTGAACATTGCGCTCTTTGAGGGGAATGGTTGGTGTCTTGTGTTTACACGAGAAAGTGTCTCAGGGGTTTGACGAAGTTACTATTCAATAAAAGAGGCCTCTCAAGGAAGAAAAACGAATGTGCTGAGGGCTTCTTTTAAGGACATATAAACTGACCTCACAGAGTTAGGAGATACCCTGGAGCTCTGGGCACGCCCTCCCCAGCATGGCGTAGTCTGTGTCGGCTCTGAGCTGTGTGCAGGGGCCCTTCCGTGCAGTGTGGTTAGGGACTGTCCGTAATGCTTGCGTTTGCACGTGTTGTTTTTATTAAATCATTTTTGTTTATTATTCGGTTTGTCTTTGTTCCTGCCTCTTGTTTTTTTAACACTTCTATTGAGATGTAATTTACTAACCATAAAGTTCACTCATTTAAAGTCCATAATTCAGTGATTTTTAGTATATTTACAGAGTT